GAAAACACACGCTCGCCTCGATCGTACAGTCCGTACGAAGACTATAAATATAAAAGGCGGTGGTTCTTTGGGCCTGCGTACGCCGCTGGCACCTGTCGTGTGGCTTCAAGTAGAGACACGATAGAAGGGAACGGGTTTTCGAGATGGGTGGAGGGACAGAAACCGACTGCCATAAGAGAGGTGGCTCTCTCCCCGTGGTTGCTACAAGACCGGTTCAGGAATCCGGGGCCACGCTTACGCGCCAGTGCCTATCAACTTCGACTCGAGCCGATTTTGGTTACCACGCACTGGCGTGGTAGAAAACAGTGTTCGACCATGACGGATGACTTTTAAGAGTGATGCAATATTTCTCTCTCACTCTTTCTCTTCTCGTGCATTACCACGTTGCAGAACGAGAGAGAAAGTAGCCACTGAACAATCTCCAAGGAAAAACATTCTGCGTGTTTTTGCATACGAACGTGCAAAAGAAAGGAAGAGCGAGAGCGTAAGGTCGGAAACTCGTCGAGACGGATTGTTCTCGGCGCCGCTTCAACACCGTTGATAGTTGATAGGAGAGAACATTCGGTCCAGGTGTTCGCTCGATGCTCTTTCCACGCTTTCGTGTGATGTTCCTGAAAGAATATCTGAACCGAAACGCTCGTCGATCGCTGTTCTCGTTTTCGCTGTCTGCCGTCCTTTCTCTTTTCGCTCGCTCTTAAAACACGCTCCTCCACGAAAGAATCACGATCGGTCGACTGGAATCGCGGCGGCAATACGCGAAACTATTTTTAATCTTGTTTCCACGTTCGAAAGCACTTCGATTTATCGATTTTTCCTTGCGCCAACGCGTTTGATATTTCTCGTCGCGACGCAATATCCTTTCAACGTCAAATTCAACGCGAACTCTATTCTCTCTCGTCGACACCTCTATCCCCAAATTCGATTCGCTCGTTCGGGAAAAAATGGATGGCAGAAAGAAAAGAAAAAAAAAGTTTTTCACTCGTTTCAAGTGTCTCAATCTCTGGAACTATAGAGACTCGAAGAAAACACAGATGTTTTCGGGGGCTAACGAGGCGCACGTTGCTGCGACTTTTATTCATTTCTTCGATCGAATTACTCGGCGGATTCCTACGGTGGTAGCCGTAGTCGACAATAAATGCCATTGCTCTTCCTCGTCATTGCGCTTCCGTCGCAGATTCTTCGGCAGAGGAAAGAAACGAGCCTGTTAACCGACAGTTTATGGTCCGCGAGCGAGCAACGCGAGCACATTTTGCCGATACCTGGCAGACCGGCTCGGTCGTTGCCGGTTGCACGACACAAAATCACTTGACCCTCGTTACGGTCGATGATCCGACTGACAGACGAACTATTTCAATCTTCGAAACGATCAAGATGCCCTCGGTAATCGGCCATTCGCGCTCACGCGCAATTCTGTCGTGGTTAACGGGCTTAAATCGGCGTGTTCCTTTCAACACCTCGTCCCAATCGAGGCCCCGGCCTCGTGCCTCGAGAGGAGAATAACCTGATCTTTACACGATACGCGATCAATGGAATCGTGGAAAATTATCGGCTAAAATCGGCGCGTGATCTGTCGCCAATTATCGTCAGATAATCACAGACATTAATGGGTTAAGACGTCGGGTAATGCGGCGTCGAGTAATTGAATGTCGAGCTGTTAGGACGACGGACAGACGGCTCGGTGTGGTTCCATGCATAGACAATTAATCGTTTCTTGCACGAAATGACATGAATTCGTTTACCGTCTCGAGGAAATCCACCACGCGTACGTACAGTGATTTAGCCACCAAGACGATTAGCCTGTTATTCAGTTTGCAATCCGAGTTCATGTTTCTGATCGTAGCTAAATATATTTCTGACTATCGACGAATTTTCGACGAAGTGACACGGTATGCTTGAGAATGCCTGCATCGATTCTGCGATTTCGCTCGGCAAGTAGCTTCCGATCGATCGTCACGAGGAAACTTGAAGCTATCCAGGCTGAGACACTAGCTAAGCCGCAATTAGCGACGCTACATCGATTTTAAGGATCTTTAATGAGACCCTTAACAAAGCGTTAACGGACTCTGTAGGAGCAATTTCACGAGACGTATGACTAAAGCACATCGGGCACGATGACGTTTATTAAAACTCACGGATGGTTATCATTAATTAATAGAGTCGCTCTTTAATACCTTGTACCAACGTCGAGTACAAGATACCGGATTTATCCATATCCAAGACCGTCGAACAAAATCTACGATGCAAATGAACGAACCAAGGATACAAACAGAAAATGTAAATAAATAATATATGCCTCTACGTAGAGTGAAGATAGGTACATCGACATGAACGGAAAGCCATGTGGAGAGACGGTGAGGCAGAGAATGTGTTAAGCAATTAGTCAGCGGACGTTGGCTTGGCTGGCCACCCCGATATCGATCTAGCAAAAAATTAGCTCCACATTTCTTCAGCGTTAACCCAGCAACGAGCTGGCAATGCATTTAAATGCGGGTTCAAACTTCTTCAATTAGCCGATGTCGGGCAATTAAGTTACGACGGCATTGGATCGCAGAATGGCGGAATTCGACTTCGAAATGACAAATTAACGCAGTAATCCGATAACAAAGGTACTTGCAGCCAGGGCTATCTTACCCGAGAATCGTCAAGGGACAGTCAAAGAAGAGACTAGAACTCGCTCATGCAGCAGTTAAATGTCGTCAAATTTCGCCAGAAATGTACACAGTTGTACGATCCGTTCAACGCCATTTAGAGAAACACAGCCACGTAAATACCCGAACGACACCCACGATCGAAGTTTCACAATGAGGCTGATTAAACGTCAATCCAGTCACTCGTTGTTCGTGTCTCGTTGGCACGAGATCTCTTAAATATCTTGGCAACTTTATTACAAGGTCAAACGCATCGCTTAAACGTCCCACGTTTATACGAACGTGGAAACTCGGTGGAAACTCCGCTTCGCTCCGAGGCTTGACTAAAACCAGCAAGCATATTAGGTACGGCATAGTCGGGAAATTATGGTTCGGGAATGGTAGAAAGTTGCGTGGCTCGTGGCGGCGTATCACGACCCCGGCGTGTCACGCTATTTGTTCGGGGTGAACGCGAGAATGTCGAGAACCGCGACACACGGACATCACAACCTCATTACCAGCGGCCACGGAGATAAATTGTCGCGGTCGAGCGAAGCTGTTGCCCGGGATGGACGTTTATCACGTTTATTGGCTAGCAGGCAACGCTCGATCGGAGACGGGATCTGCGCGACGAGTTATCGGCCAGTTTTATTTCGAATTTCTTCGAACTGGAATTGGAACCGATATGTACGAGCCTTAGGAACGGTACGGAGTCCTCCACCGGAATGTGAATGGATTTACTTGTTTTTCGTCGCGCGTTGCTGTACGTACAACAACGATCGCGTAAAAATTGCGCGGATAGCCGCAATTCGCGATTACGTAGGTATAGAATTAATTACCACGAAATCGACATAGCACGAGCAAAACGGGACTAGATATTCTCGATCTATGCGTGCACGTCCGAGAACGGCTTAACTGTAATGATCACATTCGTAGCTTAGTACGTAGCTGTGTGCTCGCAGGTGGACTGATTAGAAGTGCAAAATGAATGGCCGCGAGAGATAACGTTACGCGTGCTCGTTACTAATAGTTTAGAGCTATGTGGTTGTATAAAGATGAAAATGTTTAGCAAAATTATCTTGAACAAAAATCGTCGGATTTCCTGATACGAACGTTCAATATTACGTAACCAAAGGGGAATTCGCTTCTTAGCCGAGCAGCAGGGAATTTCTGTCGCAAATCATTTCAAAATTATACAAACATCGGGTTAACCGAGTGATGGCCGGAGAAACCATGTCGATTAAATATATTCCTCGACGAACGTCACAGCTTTTTAATCACCTTTCACGACGATTGTAAATCATCGAGGGAACAGAAATTCTCGAGGTACGAACGAACAACTTTAGCTACACCGTGGCAAGGATTTGCATATCAAAGCTGTTACGCTGTAACCGAACGCGTTACGATGCACATTCGATAATTCGGTACCGACGAGAATGCAGCAAAATTCCATATGACTGGCATCCTTCGAATCACATAACGCTAGAGATTAAAAAAAAAAAAAAAACTTGCCACCTCTATTGCCAAACTGAGAAATTTATCGAGAAATAATCCGAACAAGAAACTATTCGCAGCATCGAACGGCTCTTGTTGGTGCTCTTTTACTTCCTATTCTTTTGGCCAGCTTCCTGTGTGTTGCGATGCTTTCCCAGGCTTAGAGAGAAACAAACGGGAACGCGTTTACCAGCTCCGAGAAACCATCGTTCTTGAATATTAGTATGCACAGAGAAATAGTTCGCGCTAAAGTAGTCGTTGCAAGATAGTCAGAATGGGGAATTAACCGGACACTTTGAACAATGATGTATAAATAGCAGTTTGTTAGGGAAACAAAAGACATCTGAATTGCCTGCAATCTTATAAGTCTCGATATGAATTATCTAAAATTCTTAAAGCTTAAAAGTGAAATTAATATCGAGATCCGAGAAACTATACTAGAAGACGTAAGATTCAAGAATCATAATTAACATCTTGTGAAACGTTCTAAGCAGTCTCTCATCCTCACATTTACAGAAATGTATGGAAATACATATGATATATGTACGTTTCTGTCAGCGTATGTGAAAATGTATAGATTTAATAAATCGATAGCTTTTATCAAGTCAATCAAGCTTCTATAATGCTCAAACTTCTGCAGAGTTAAGATTTCCTAATCCTTATCCGCCCCTTATATGTCAATTTGACCCATTTTCCTTGTATGATATGCAAGATCATGATATAAAATTGAACAGGTATTTATATTTAAGAGTTATACGCAACTGAATAGAAATTTAGTTTATTTACTATTAATAAAAGAATTTGCAAATTCAATTATTTTTCTTTTGTATCAATTTAACACCAACGGACAAATTAAATTAGAAAAATGAGGGACGAATGATGGCTAAAATCGCAAACACGTTTAACAACTAGCCTTCATTGCATTGGAACATTGTTTGCACCGTGAATTCAACTAACGATTCCGAAAAAATTTTGTACTATGTACGTGGATTAATTTAGAAACCGATTATTTCGTTCGGGAAATGTAATTTGCAAAAGAATTTCAATCGATCGCTGTAAAAAATTTGATTTTCATTTTAATCCAATGTTACGCGAACACAATAAACTGCTCTTTAAATATAAACACGTTTATTGTAAATTTTATATAGATCGCGAGCATGATTAAGTACATTCGTTGGTTATCGTTGTTTTTGTAGAAATTCGATATTCCTGACGTGAATAAACCGAAAGTCGCCTATTAATTAATTCGCTATAAAATTTAAAATTATGCAAAAATTAAAATTTTTATTTCGAGATTTTCAATGTTCTGCCGGGAAAAGACAGTCAGAGAAAGAAAGACAGAAAGAAAGAAAGAAAGAGAAAAAAGTTACGACAATTCATACGAATACTATCGCAGTGTGAGTTAATTGCAAAGTCAGATAATGGGAATAAAAATGACAATACTAATTAACATTTCCTAAAGCGAGCTTTTTATCCCTGAAATCACAAGCCCACGATTTCGATATAACTTTTACCGCGTTCACCGCAATTAAAACGCGAACAATCGAATTAATGATTGCTAATTATTTCATCCACATTGAAATGTTTCGCCGACATGAATTAATAACTTCATTAAAGCCGATTAATAAAAAGAAAATGAACGGAGAAACTCACTCGGACATGAGGCAGACAAACAAACGATAAGATAAGAAATATAATTTTGAAACAGTACCTTGTATCGATTTTATTCTTTGTAGAATTTTGTCAACTGAGGTAACTGCAACCACTTCGATGAATTATTTTACGCCAGCCTGCTTGAATATTCTAGCCTGCACTGCAATCTCTCGACCTGCCGGTAAGAAAATCGAATTATCACCAATTTAGAGAGAAGAGAATACGTCTTTCCATCGATCTCTAATTAAGTAAAACATTGTTTTATTGTAAGACTTAATCGTTTTATCACAATTTTATCACATAGACTGAATAAATAACAATTTTTTTCGAAAGTTTGCGTCTTGATTTAATTCCGTAAAACTAGTGAAAAATGAAGAATCTTTTTTGAGCTAACGAGATCGAATTCGAGTCTAATATACCCGAAAGTATGCTCGATAACGTTAGTCGCGACATATGAGTTATCGAAACGGACGAGCGAGTTATTGAAAATCAAACGATTTCACGACACCGTTTTCACGGCACACGTCGAGTAAATTATAAAATTTGTAATTTCAGTGCATACATGTTGCACATATTAATTGAAAACGTCAGCCCGCTCGATAGCATTGAATGCTTGCGCATGTAATCATTACTTTTCATGTTTTGAAAAGTCAATAAACCGAACGCTAGTACAATATTTAATTCATTAGGAATAAATCGCTGATGGACATTTTTATATTAAAAAAATCGCAATAGCTTCTTGCGGCTTCAAACAACAAAATAAAAATATTATAAATATGAATGCGAATAGCACACGATATTCAATCAGATTTTGGTTTTCACATGTAAAATGAACGATTTTAGACCATTAATATTTTTATGCTTCGAAATTGTTATTTCAATGTATGCGATACTTCCTTCAAAAAACTCTTAACCAGTTAATCAATGATAAAAATTTTAAAATGTTAATATATTTCATGATGACAATGTTACATGCTAACTCGAAAATCTATTATTTTTATTTTGTTATTATTATTTTCTATCTTGAATTGTTTGAAAAAATGCATCTGCTCCAATATGTTCTATACATATGTTCTAATATACTTGGAAACTAAATTCGATTGACTCTAATTAATAACGAGAATAGGTTGTACAATCTGAAAATATTGCTATTTTCACACCAGCGAGTCATTCTCTTATGTAAGTCGAAAAATCTTGAAAAATGAAAAAATAACGGGAAGAAAGATAAAGACAGAAAAGAAGATGAGAATTTCACACACCTGTGAGAATCTCGAGTAACGAGCCACGAACACAAGGCAATCCCACAAAATTGTGCTGCCCCCTTAAGCTCTTTTTCTTAACCCGTAAACTGTATACTTCTCGTATTGCGTGGATAACATAGAAAACCGGTTCCTTAGTATTTATGCATCGTGTGTACACCGCTTACGCCTCACAAAAGCATAAAATGCATCCAGCCCTTTCGTCCCTTTACTTACCAACACTGTACATAAGATTTCTTTCGTTCGATGTCACTTTTTCCCTTTTAACATGCCAAGCCACACTATATATAGGGTGTACTATTTTAATCTTTATTGTCACAAGTACAAATTATAAATTCGTTATTCGAAAAAACATTTGAAATGGAACTTACTCTATTTCAAAATGGACCTCTTCTGATGCAAATCTCATCTAAAAAAAAGTTCAACCTCCTCCAAGATTTCAAGATGACTCTTTCTTTACTCTTTAGGAATCTTTCTTGATTAATAATTAATAGTCCGATCTATTCCAAGACGAATTTCTTGTTTTATGATATATTGATGTTTATGCAAAATAATTACTAATCATTAAACATCGAAAAAATATCCTTCAGGTATCTGAAAGCAATACTTCTATTTATCACATATCACATAAATGCATAAGATTAGAAAAGAACCATTTGTTCAAAAATTGTTTTAATAATAATAAGTTTTGGCATAATTTGAAAAGAAATAGTGTACAAAAATTAAAATTCCCTACTCTATACGTAATTGAAATATTTTAACCACATTATTGCTAACACATGAAATATTAAAAACTTCTTGTTTTGTCTCGAACGTAAACAAGTTTTCATGAAATGAATGTAATGTTATACAAACCTATACTACATATTGCTTATTATTTGAATATTTTTCAAATACAACGTAGAAAATCACAACGTTTTTGCACAACACTCGAATACGTTCGAAAACGTTAAAATTTAAAATGACTATAAATGTCCTTTTATTTCAGAAGATGGCGCTGTTAACTACAAACGAGATCAAATAATGTATCTAAGTTTCTAAATAAATATGTACTCCTTAATAAAAAAAATTTAGAGTTTAAATTACAAATTATTTGTAATTGTCATGTTTAAACATTAATTTATTTTCCTATTAAACCGAAACTACAGCAAACTATTTTAATATATTTCGATTCGTTTACGAGCAACGATGATCGATTTCTCGAAACTGTATAGTTTAATAGAGTTTCTATTTTAGAGATATAAACGAGATGCATACTTTAAATGCATTACTAGAGTAAAGATTCATTATTCTGAGACATTTTAAACATATCCTCTAACTGAAATGAAGAATGGATTTTTAAAATTTAAAATTAGAATCTGAATTTACAGGAAACCTTGATTCAATTCAATCCAATTCAAGGCTCAAATAATCCCATACTCCAATAAAATGATGTTACAATAATACATGAAAATTCTCATGAATTTTATCAAAAAATATTTATTTTTTTATTAAATATTAAATACTTTTAAAATAAATAACTATTCATATTTATTTTATTAAAGACATTTCTTTTAATATACATTACTTATAATAACAAAAGCAAATAAAGTATTTGAAGTATAGAAAAATAAATATTTTTTTTACATATAGCTATAAACTATATCTGTACACGCATTATATTATTATGTAATTAATTTCAAAATGTACTGCATTGTGGAATGTAAATTATTTTACTATTTCAATGTGAGAGGATTGAGGTTCTTCATCAGATGAATAGTCTTGAACACGTGGTATTATAAAAGATGTAGCAATCTCTTCCGATTCTTTAAAAAATAAGTCAATTTAATTATATTTAATTTGTAAAAGAAAATATAATAGCCAACTTACGATCATTTGTGACTTTATGTTCGCCTTCTTCTTGTTTTTCTTCAATCTTTTTATCTTCTTCATAATTGAAATCATCATCTTCAGAATCTTCATAGGTAGTAAAATGAAGATACGAAAGAATGCATACAAGTGCTATGAAAAACAAATTTGTAGCAATACCAACAATAGCAGATAAAATTGGCCAATGATACATTAAATAACGTAGACCCGATAAATGTGCATTTATCATAATATTTGCAGAGTAGAATTCGATGTGCCTTGATTGTATTTCAACATAAATAATTGTAACTGGATGACTCTGGTCTTCTTTAAAATAATCAAATAATTCAAGAACTACATTTTGTTTTTCTTCTGTAGTACCAAAAATCATCATAGGTGAAAATGTAAATGTTGTAAGGGCATGTAATAATGTGCTACGATAATGTAACATAGTAGACCTACATGTATGTTCTACAAGAAAACTATTTCTGCTGCGTAATTCAGCACAAACCATGAACATACCTATTTAAAAATTATATTTATTAAATACTCTTAATTTTTATTTACAAGACTTAGAAATTACCAAGTTCTTTATTAGCTGGTGATTCTGGCATCTCTAACTGCAAATTAATTTTATATGGTTGTCCAACCATTAAAATTTGTTGTTTATTTGTTAATTGCACAAATGCCGATGGATTGCTACAAATTCCTCTTTCTTCATTACATGACCTGTAACATAGAAATATATGCTCAAACTTTAAATTTAAGATGCATGTAATATAACATTTTAATAATCACAAAATAATATGCTTCAAGACATGATTTTTTTTTCATTAACATACAACTGAGAAGTGAAGCTTACTTAAATTGTAGATGTACTGGTCGTACAAATGAGAGGTTTGGTATATAGGCATAATAAAATGCCGTGTAAAGAAACGCAGATAACCAAACAATGAGAATACCACTAATAATAATAATTCCACCACTCAAAATTACATCTTTAGCAGATTGTACACCTCTTTTTGTTTTATTCTGTACATGAAATAATTTTTTATAAACTTGTTCTAATAACCTTGAAATTAACATTGCAAACGAAATATAATATATTATAATAAATTTAATATATTAATATATTACAAGTTAATCATAATAAGATCAATTATTTATCAATTAGTGAACTTTTTTTCAAATAACTCGGCAATAAAATACAGCTTAACTACATTTTAACTTCCGAATATTGGTAGCATTGATATCGAAATGTGTGTATATAACGTACATGTATAAAGATAGAATATGCAACTGCTCTATATTTTGATCAAATTAACAAAAATTAACAAAATTATATGAAAGATTAATACGTGAATTATTCTGAAATACATAAAATAAATAAATAAATATATATATATTAAATTTAATTTTTTATCTAACAAATACATATACAATTGAAAATTATCTTTACTGATATTAACATATGATATATTTTATAAATTTTAAGGCAGGTTTTCAATATAAAAACACATAAGAAAAATGTAAGAAATACATTCCATAGGAAGTAGTACATTTTATAACATATACTATAACTATAAAATATCGTAGTTGATAACATATGTCAAGTGTTCAGTCAATTTATACATTACATTACATTAATATTTATATCAAAACAAAAAATATAATTTAGTTTACTTTCCTTTTCTATGCTCCAACCTTGGTCTTCCTTTTTTTGTTGTTGGTTTATCTTTCCCTTTATTTAATAATGGATGAGTTTCTGAAAAATATTAATGATAAATTGCATAAAGCTGTTATTAATCAAATGCAAGCATGGATCTTACCATCTACTGGTGCACCTTGCAAATGAATATCATGGGAGCGATGTTTTTTCATAGGTGGTTCATGTAATGTTGTTTGATTATCTTCTGAATCTTCTACATCTGGTGATATTGGTAAAAATTGTAACGAACCAATATCTTCCATTTCTTCGTCAGAACTGCAAAAGGCAGCCACTCTATCTATTGATGCAACATCTACTTCTATCTCTTCATCTTGAGCCTCTTCACCTTGCACCACAGATTTATCTTCATCACTCAAGTCAAATTCACTTTCTCTTTCTTCATATTCAACATTTTCATCTAATTCCTTAAAATCAGGTGCAAATGCAGACCAATTTTCAACCTGATTTTGTGCCCAAATAGAAACAACACCGGATGATATAGAAGCAATAATTGGTCTCACTGGATGCCACTGCAGTATTATAAATTGTAATATTATAATTTTATAAAAGTTCAGATAAAAAGTTAGATTCAAGTCGTTTATGATGATATAATACAAATTTTCAGGATCTGATCAAATCTAATATCGAATCTAGCTTTTAAATGTTTGAAATCTAAATTTTTCATTTTATTTTATCAATATTAATATTTTATTAAGTATTATTAACAGATTAATAATACTTACAACAACGTCAAGTAATAATTCTCCTTTAGTTCCATGTAAAATTTTTACTAAATTTCCAATACTTTTTTCCCATACATACAAAGCATGCTGTCTTGCAGATCCAGCACAAACATATTCCCCATCTCCAGAAAAACAACACTTCTTCCACATAGTTTTGTTTACAAGATCTTGCAATTTTTGTATTGGTTCTGGTTCACCATCTTTTCCACAGGCCAATACTTCAGTACTATCATATACACGAATTACTCTATCTGATGTATTTACTAAGAAACAAGAACCTCTTCTAGCAAATTCAATGCTCTTTACAGCTGTATTACTAGCTGTGCCTTGTGATATTTTGTAAGAAGCTTTCACAGTTAAAGACTCTGCATCAAGAACTAGAATTCTACCACGAGCATTTCCAGTATAGACATAATCTCCTCGACGATCAAAAGACGCTACTATGTTTAAATCACTCTAAAATAAATGAATATTAAATATCAATGTTAAAAATATTAAGCAATAACTTTAATAATAATATTAAATTTGTCACATACGTCATCATCAAGAGGTATAACTCTATGCGTACCCTCAACATCAACCATTACTGCTGCATGTCTCATTGGACACACTAGAAATTTATTAAGATTTCTTGGATGAAACTGAACTTTTAATATTGGAGAAGGAAATCTGTATTTTTGATCACATTCTCCAGATAAAACATCCCATATACAAACATTATTATCTGTAGATGCACTTAATAATTTGTGTCCATTCCTAGACCAGCTAATTGACAAAGACAATGATATAAAATTGATGACAAATTAATTCAAGTTACTTACCTTAATGAACAAACAGGATGTACATGTGCACTAATGATTTTGGCAACACCACGTGTTAAAAAATCCCAAATAACAATTCTACCATCATTACAGCCAACAGCAAGAAGAGTTCCTCTTTTATTAAACGTACAAGTGACTGCTAATGATATACAATCTAATGTACCATCAAACTCCTAATGATTATAAACATTATACCTGTGAGATTCAGAAATAAAAAGTACATTATATTTGTAAAAAATATATCCTACCTCCGGATAATTCTGGCCAAATGATTCTGTAAAAAAGAAATTATATTAAAAAACTGAGTAAAAAAAAATAAATTTTTTAAATATTTACCTAATAATTCCAAATTCATTTTTATTATATTGTCTGTGTTTACTTCATAGAACTTACTAGAATTATTGCTATATGCTTGTAGCACTAACTATGAATAGAACACATACAACAAGATGTAGAGATTTACATTCTGAATTACCAACTGATCAAAATGTTTTTTATACTTATTATGATTTACTGTAATGAACATATCATATTCTATTCAATCATTGAAAATGATAAAATCTAAAAATGGCTGTGAATATTTGTTAAATGTCACATATAACGCAAGAAACATAAGGAACCAACAAACGTGAAATGCAAAAAAGCATTGAATGTCATATCTATTTTGTTCTTAATCAATGCTTGTAGTATGGCAATATTTTGAATAAGATTTTATATGTCCCTAAAATTAAATACTTAAAATATTATTGTTTACAGAAGAAAAGTATTATTAATCTCTTTTTCCTAAATATACTAACCTAGTGAAACATCTTTTATATAAAAACAGTTGAGCAACATACAAAATTATTATATATGATCAATTTTCATAGGAACGTTTTGTGGAATCTCAATCCAGTGCTCAGTATCGATATTCACAAGTACTTACTACTATGTACATACTTACATTAGTAGATATGGTTACTTGTATTTGCGTTTGAATACATATGTGGTGGATACATATTTGAAAATTTGTAATTATCTATGAAGAAAGAATTGTCACTAGTTAAAACAGTGTAAATAATATGATATCTTATACTTGTACGTTTATCTACTTATAAATAATAATTTAAACTTTGTATAGAAAAAATTACATTCGTGTGCTTTCTGTTATATGTATCTCACAAATATTTCACTATAAAAATGTTTTGATTTTTAATAATTGCTTTTTTATGTTATGTTAGATTCTTTATTTAGTAGAATGTGCCTTAGAAATGGTCGGCGAACAATAATAACAGCTGCTACGAAAGATGTACCAGATACAAGTATTCCATGGTTTCGTATTTCGGAATCTAACCCTGCAGAGCATGATGAAAGTTGTTTAAGTCGTATTTACACGATACCTTCAGATATTACGGCATCACTAATGTCAAATATGACACTTGAATTAAGAAAGCAAACAGAAATATTCAGAGAACTTGGTATTTTAGTTAGACGACCTGCAGTGGAAATAATATCGTATTTAGAACAAACAGACTTTACAAAGTCTATAAATAAATATATTTTATGTATCCTTTTATAATTCATATTTAATGTTTATTTAGTTAATTTTAACTATAAAAAAATTTATGATTTAACTTCATGTGACAGTATTTTCACTATTTATTAGATGGTATACAAGGAGTAGGAAAAACAACATCTTTATTACATTTGATTCATTATGGCCTTGTGAAACGATATTTTGTACTTCATTTACCATGGGGTATGAACTGAATTATATAATAATAAATTATTTGTAGAATATATTTATCATATAAATTTACTTATATGTGTTTAGTTCAAACTTGGTTCAGATATCCAAGAGATGCGGTTGCATCTCCTTTGGAACCAGATAAAATAGACTTGCCTGAATCAGCAACAAAATGGTTAAAATATATTAAAGAGATAAATAAAGTAGCACTATCGCAACTTGACGTATGTAATTATTAAAGTTTATTTTATTATTATATATAATAAAGCAATTAATTTATAGCTGAAGACTACTAAGGAATATACGTGGTCCCAAAGAGAAATTACAAAATCTGGAGAGTCACTTTCTAATCTTATTGAATTTGGAATACAAAGAAATAAATTTGCTTGTGGTGTTATTAATGCTGTAGTGGATGAACTTAAAATGGCCAGTACAGCAGGAAAATGTAGAACATTAGTTATCATAGATGGTTTTAATGCATTTACTTCTAGCATAACACACGTAAAAGATGAAAATCATACATATGTACCACCTGAGAGAATATCAATAACATCTACATTCTTGAGTAGTGTAGATTATAATTGGTGTAATGGTGCTGCGATATTAACAGTAGATAAAAGAGCAAATAAAGTATGTAAAAGTTGATATAATATATTGTACAACAAAACCAACTATCAATTATCTAACTAATAAATTTTTTATTGTTTTTCTTATTCACAGGATAGGAAAGACTCTGATTATCCAACATATTTACTTGGTAAAAAAGGATTTGAGCTTTTGGATCCCTTTCTACCCATTTGCGTCGAAAATTATTCATTAGATGAATTTAAAACTATATTAGAATACTATAAAGATCGAAAATGGATCAAAAACATTAGTGATAAAGGACAAAGAGAATTAGAGTTACTATCCAATAAAAATCCATATCAACTTTGGGCACTTTGTAAACCATTATATTAAAATCATTTTACATAATAATAAATATTGTTATTAAGGAACTGAATAATTACTTCATATTGTTTTTCCTTATGATTTTTATTTAATTAATAACATCTAAATTCAAGATTTTTATTATAATAAAAATTCACATTTTATTAGTATCTCTACATGCTACCTTATTAATATGATGAATACATTAAATAAAAAGGAATGTAATATTTGTAATAATAATATATACGATTACGTAATATAACACTCTTCGTATCTACTCTTATTTTATAAAAGAAAACGTCAACTACATACGAAAAATTTCATCAAATTCTAAATTTGACGTTTACTTATTTGTAGGCTGCAATATCTCTAAGACTTTATTAATGTCTCCATTTTCAGCATCCAACAAATAAGTTAATAGTCCACTTTGATTTGAGAATCCCATCTTTAACATAGTTTCAATAGCTTCGTTAATTCTTGGATTCTCATGATGTACTACCTTCTTTTCTTTTGGTAACTCAGGGTACAGTGTTTGGGTTGAAGATCCTTCCAGTGCTGATGGTGCAGTTGAAGAAGACGGAATCTTATAACATAAGATATACATTATTATTTTTAAAAATAAATATAAAATTTTTATGAACTATATATTTGTAGACTTTATATTAATTTAAACTATATTTTATAATATTTTACCTGTTTTATACGTATTCCTTTCCCATTAAATGAAGTTGAGGACGTTTGATTAATTTCAGTAGTATCATTTTTATCTATAATAGTCCATTCATCTGCCACTACTTTTATAGTAGAATTGTCTTGACTAGTAGTTGATGCAACATCTGATATTGATCCTTTATCGTCTTTAGTATCATCAAGTAGTTTTCTTCCTTCTCCAGGAAATTTTCTGGAATCATTTTCATTTGTATGTGTATCATTGTTAGATGTATGTGTATCATTGTTAGATGTATGTGTATCGTTGTTAGATTCATCTTCTTTCTCAGGCTTGTGATTCTGAAAAATATGCGAACAATTAAAATTAATTTCAATGACAATAATGTTGTATTACTTTTGTAAACTTCATAAACTATGTTCTTTGTTTTTGTTTGTTTATTGGTATTTATTACCTTAAAAGGCTCTGGACCAATAGATGTTTCTAATACTGTATCAATAATGTTATTTAAATATGGGGCATAACTTTCCAACCAAGGATAAATGCTATTATGAATTCCTTGAGATGTAGGCTGGGATGTATTTTCATTAGAAGCATGTTTCTTATTCAAATGCACACCATTTTTTTTTAGAATTTTTCTCAAATGGTGAATCAAACTTCGAGTATGATGCCATTGTAATGGTTGTGGCATACGAATCATATAATGATGCGAATGTCTCATTGTTTTCTCACATTGTGCACATAAATCATAGTCTTCACATTGAATACATTTGTATCTAAATCCAATTATGTCTCCATCACAACCATCGCAACATACACCAAAATGAATTGCTTTATTATCCTTCTTGGAATTTGGTATTTCTTGCTTATGTGAAACAAGTTTGACGTTAAATTTTTTTGGGGAAAACATTTCTTTTTGAGCAATTTCTAATTCTTCGTTAGATGATATTACGATTTCATCACCCTCAGCATCTACGATATATATTAAAAATTAGATATTTAGCCATTTAAAGAATTATTATAAAAGAACTAAACTATTTTATTGTTACATTTTTAAAGAATAACTAAGATGATGCAACTATATTTATATATCATAATTACCTTGCCAGGAAACGATGAATTTCTTCTTAGATAATTCTGGAAATGTTGACTTGAGTTTTACACAAAAATCGTCGAAACATTCATACTGTGGGCCATTATATTTCCGAATTGCTACGACAGTAGAGTCTTTGTTTTGCAAACATATTTTATACATTATTGAATTTATATTTATCTTGTACAACTGAGAATGAAATATGCACTATTTGCAAAAATACACAAAAGCTATTATTTTGCACGATACACAAGTTTTCCTGCGAAGTTTCGCTATCGTATGTCCAGACGATTCTATTACGATACTTATATAGGTAGCACGTACCACGTATCTGTCAAACTTATTCTGCAGAATTGGATCGATTTTACAAAATGGCGTATCCGATACCTCAGTAGTTTTCTATTCTATGTTTTTATGACTATATTTTTAACAATATATTTAAATAATTTTTTTCACCTTATATTTCAATCATCTGTCGTTAAATAAAGTTAATATTATGCTTGTAAAACTTTCTTATGTGAATTAATAGTGAATTTTTGTTGAAATTTGAACGGCGCCATTTTTGAATGAGATGCAAAATTGATAATCACGTGATATATACATACATGTGCATAGAAATGATGATTCATACATGGAAATGATTAAATTTAATCATCACTTTCTTAATATTATTGCAACAGATGATTCGAAATTCTTTAATATTCTTTTGTCTTTTAAACACTTATTTAATACTTAAATAATTTAAAATTGAAACAACTAATATGTTACGCGTAATATGCACTAAATTTTTAATTAAATATGCAAATAGTAAATTATAATTTACTTGGTCATTTTTATTTCATTGGTTTTTGTAACATCTTTCAATCATATTATTAATAATTCGACATGCTTTAATATTGTATTCCTGCAATTATTATAAATATAACAAAAGATAGTTCGAAATTTATACATCAATTATTACGAAAATTACTTATACAGAATGTTCCGTGCAACATGACGCACTATTTTTCAGTCATTTGCGACCATTTAAATGATAAAAAGAAATTACCAATGTCGAATGTATAACAAATAGCAATAATTAGAATTTCAAAGAAAGCGAAATTTTATGTTTCCCAAGTAGGATAAAATATATTCTTTTCGTTATATTATAGAAGATATTAAGACTAATTCAAGAAGCATGTGACTTTATATTTTTATTAACACAGTGCTATTTTTACAATAATGGAAATTGAAACATTTTCCGTCGCATTTTACTTTTGAACAAAATAAATATATTGGATTTTGGATTTTATGGCTTACTTTATTACATCATATAAATTCACTAATAATCACTTATAAACAACGTTCTATGTTAACATTCTGTAAAGTCTAATATAAGTTGAAAAACGGTGCATCGCATTACATGGAACACCCTGTATGTGTAAATGTATGTTTCGTTTGTGGATAATCATTTTTGAAAAGGAATTAATCATTAAAATGTAATTTACTAATGGAATATAGATCGGTACGTATCATTTACCTAATGATATAACATATTAAAATTTACTTTACATATGGTAGACATATAAGACTTAATTGTTTAAAATAATTTCTCATTAATTGGTCAAGTAATATTTTTATTATAAATACTTATAAGTACTTAATCAACAGTTTTATAGCTTTTTATGAATTTTAATGCTGACTAAGGTTGAAAGGTATTGAATATGAAAATAATACCACAATTTATAATTTAATTTGATAGACCTTAATAGATTTAATAGAAATATTAATTATATCATGTCTTGTTTGCATTTTATCTATTGTGTTTCATCAGTCATGTCGTCATAATAATGTCAGTCGTTACATCCTATTTAGTAGATTACTATCGTAGCCAACATAGTCTTTTCGAGAAGTTACATTTTTCATGTCAAAAGTATGCACGAATGTTTCGTGAATATTTGATGTTCATTCTTTGATAAAAGTACTTGTTTCTAGTTACGAGAATTCAGTCATCGACGATTATCATAGTCTTTTACGTGTCTTCGACTTCTTTTGAATATATGCACAATTTGTGATCTTTTTCGAGAAAAAAAAGAAGAGGCAATCAATTTGAACAAAATGAGATTTGCTATGTATTTCAATTTTATTTCTATAGTTTTTCATTTAACGGGAGCTACAATATACGGTGACGGATCACTGTACATTCCTTTAATAAAATGGGTTCGCACATATTATTCGACTTCTGCTGTCTTTTTGCTGCATTCACTTAGCGAGAACAAATATTTCGATGGTATGATTTTTAAATATTTTCACATAAAAAATTCATTTGTAATATGACAACGAAAAAATATATATACCATGACGTATTTGCGTATTGTTGCATTATTTAGGCGTCAAGATAGCATATGTGTCACACACATGGTCTCGTCTTCTTCATCGTGAGCAAATTGCAACTCTAAGTTGTACATTCAAGGATATTCATGCACTGAAAAGAAACAGTATCCTTCGACCGTTGGTCATTGTTTTTTTGCCTGGATCTGAAGCCGTTTCCGAATTTTCAAGATACTCGAAATCCTTGAAAATGTCTTTATTTGCATGGTTTGTAATATTTATGACCGAGTCGATGAACAAGAAATATTGCTACAATCCATCGGGAAATCCATTTCATTTGTTATTTGATACTGAAATGCTGGTCATGTGTTACGGTGATCCTATTCTTCGTGAGTGGTATTCCGTGGATGGGAACAACACCGTCATTTTCGACTTAATGAAGTGGTATCCAGAGAGACAAGTGGGATCGTCAACGGCTGCTTTGAGTTCGTTGACCAATTTCAGTTTATACGAGAGGAGAAATGATCTGAAAGGGAAAGTTCTGCGAGCTGTCATTGTCGAGGCAAAAATTCCGATATTCCATTCTCTATGATTCACAGATAGAATTATCAGAGTTTATATAATTTACTTTTGTCCGTAGAACTCGATATTAGTCGCCGTTAAAAATAATAAATTGGAAGGATATTTTAGTAGAGCGATCAGCGAGCTTGAGAATTATCTGAACTTTACTCTCGATATCGCGTTCACTGAAACCGAGTTTGGAATCTTCAACGCGACGACGAAAAGTTGGAACGGTGCAGTTCGCTTAGTGGCTTCTGGAGAAGTAGATATCGGAATAGCCGAGTTTTCGATGACCAATATTAGACTTGATTACGTTGATTATATGATTCCTATTCTTACCGTTAGGAAGTCTTTGTACTTTAAACAACCAGATGTACTCACGGTGAAATGGTTTGCTTATTACAAGGTATGTATTGCTAAACTATACTTATGTAATTGTCTACACATTTAAAAATATACATTTTCTTTAGGTTTACAGTTTTACACTCTGGATGTCTCTACTCATGACAATCATAATTGCATTATTTGTTTTGGCCTTTATTAGATCTCAAGTAGAATCCACTAATCTCATCAGGGAAATATCCCATGAATTTATTCGAGTTTGGGGCATTTTCTGCCAACAAGGAATCACAGCTGGTGAATCGATAAATTTAATAGCTTTGACGAATATCTGCTTTAAAATTTCTCTTTCTTTTATAAGAAAAAATTAAGCACTTAATAGAACTTTTTTTCGCAGAATTTCCGCAGAATTCATCGCTGAGGTTAGCATACTTTACCATACTCGTTGCTGGTATAGTAACATTTGCCGCTTATTCCGCATCTATGATATGCTTCGTAACAGCTCGTGTTCATAATATTCCCTTCCGTACGATTCAAGAGTTCCTCGATGATGATACATACAGTTTAATCGTTCAAAGATCTTCCTCGGACTACGACATATTTACTGTAAGTTTGTATCCAATAATGGAGAATTCTGGCACGATATGTATGCTTTCACTTTTACTTGCACGTTGAGAGATTACGTCACGAACGTTATGTGACGTAATGTGAACGATCGACATAACACACAACGAATGAAAAAGTACCATTTCCTGAACGAATCGTGAAAATGTATAGCATGTATATAGGTACATGCAGTTTCTATTAATATTACGTTGTAGAAAGTATAATTTGATTTCCAGAAATCGAAAGATCCTATTTCGAAGCTCATGTTGCAAAAGCTAAAGCCGAGAGATGTTCTACCACTCAGTGTAGACGGTGCATATTATAACGTAAGTTCGCCTTTATGATATTATAATGCTTTAAATAAAATTTTCTCAACTATCTTAAATACTTTCAGATCTGCAGTGATGCCTCATTAACGTATTACAGCGGTTTTAATAGAGAACTACGGAGAATGGTGAATTTCCGCGCTCCATGCGATATCACCTCTATTGACGTCGGCCGAGTGGATAGTTTATCTCTGATTCTACCGAAAAACAGTCAATTCACCTCTGTTTTGAATTACTAGTTAGTATCGATAGACGAGCTATGTGTCCGGCAACTTATAAATAAAAAAGTTTTGCGTATTTTTCTTTTTGTATTTAAAATATTCATCGTAATGTTGCAGTATGCAGAAACTTTTGAACACTGGCCTACTGAACCGGTTCAAGACCGAAATAACTTTCACGCAGAAAACCAGATTCCAGCCGGTTGGATTTAACAGCATCGTATCTGTATTAATAATCTTCCTCGGCGGTATTATATCAGCACTTGTAATACTACTCATAGAGATATTTTACAATAGATATATGAATTCTTATTTCAATTACCCGATTTAAGGGTAAATTTTTCCATATATGCTCGTCAAAGATTGTCAAAACACGCTAATGTACGATTCAACTTCGAGTTGAATTTTTTCTTTAGCTTCAACTTAAAACATCAGTAGCGAATGTAATCAAATAGATTTAAAGACACGATAATGAAACATCTATGGCACCAAGAAATAACACGTCTCATTTTCTTTTCTCACATTGTCAAGATAAAAGTCTGACGTATAACCGATGCAAAAGTGTGATACGCACAATAATAAAGAACATTCACTAAATGCTAAATCACAGCACGAAATGCACACACCTGTACAGGCGTACATTTTCTATCGACGTTAATCTTTGCAACAGTTTGCACGTAATCTGTACGATTGCACGATTAGTGCATACCAGGGGCCATTACGCCCCTAATGAGATACTATCCTCGTCTCTAGATGTGTAAATTCGATAAATTCCAACATAACTTGCGGGTTTACTGTTCATATTTAGTTAGCATCAGAAACGATCGAGCATCGGGAGAAGGAAAAGGATATCACCGAGTTTGCTGTTTTGGAAATTCGCGAACACGTTGGCCTAGTAGAACATTGTCAGTGTTCAAGAAGATCCACTGGATAACGTTATCATCGAATCGAGAGTAAATTCGACGGACAAACCGTATCGTGAGATGGCACGAATGACTTATACACGACTGATGGTCGTGTTGCTGCTCCTGTCTGTCTCAACGTTCTCGGTGGACGTAAATAACGCTTACAAATATATTCATCTAATCAAGGACGTCCACTACTATTACGAAACATCCTGCATCATAACCGTATTTTCGAACTGCCATGACAGTAAGTTTCGCTCACTTTTCTCGAAAATCCTGTAGGAAAATGCGCGAAAGTAATAGAATCAATTTATTCAAATTTATTAGCCTGAAATGCAAATTCATTTTTTTTTTCTCGTTTAAAGTACTTTCTCCCCGAGTTTTGTCGCTAACGATAAGAGGCGATCGCAAACGATTATCGTTTCAGATTTCAATGAAACTTCGTTGGCTTTTACATGGTCACGGGCTTTCTCTCAGCTAGGCATCTTGACAACGAGCGTAAGATTTTCCGAACTGCCACGTGAGACTAGGACGTTCCAAAGTTATATGAGGCGTCCGTTATACGTCGTCATTCTCACTACAAAGGAGAACATGGATGAGTTTTCGATGGCCACCAGACGGATCGATACCTCGTTTTCCGTCTGGCTCGTGATGTTTCTGCCATATTGGGAAAATCCCTTGAGACACATTTGTCAAAATCCTGTAGGAAACCCGTTCAATTTGAAGTTCAATACGGAGATGCTGGTGCTTTGTTACGATCAGCCACTTCTCAGAGAATGGTACTCGTTGCCCGATAATCAAACGAGGACATTTAACTTGGCCACCTGGAAAAGTAGCGTAGGAATAAAATTGAAGACGAACAGTTCCTTGTACGGGAGGAGAAACATGTTTGGACAAACGATACGTGTGTCGATCCTCGAGGTAAGTATTACGACGAGTGCGGATGAACTTTAACTCTGGCATTTATTTCATTTATTTTCGAAACTTACGATCGATACGAATTGAAGGATTCCCTGTTCGTTGAGCTGAAGAACGGAGTTCTTACGAACTTCTTGGGCGCAGTGATCAAAGAGCTGAGTAAATCGATGAATTTTAAGATCGAAGTGGCAAGCTCGGTGCTGATATACGGTAGTTGGAACGAGGACAAAGGGATATGGACAGGAGTGATAGGCGAGTTAATATCGGGCAGGGCGGACATCGGCGTCGCGGAATTTAGCATGACTACTAGCAGACTGGACATCGTGGACTTTACGTTCCCATTAATTTTGTCCCGCAATAGAATATTCTTTAAGAAACCTGACGGCTCGTTCATACACTGGTCCGCCTACTTTAAGGTTTTCTTTCTCTCAACGAATTTTTATTTTATTTTTTGTAGTAAAGTAGTGGATTGTGATCGCCACCGCAAGCTTGTTCGTTGAAGATCGGAATTCATTTTCAAATATTATATCAAAATTCATTTGGTATTCGTGAACTATCGCAGTAACGGATTGTTTTCAGATATTCACAAGAGGCATTTGGTTGGTAATAATATGCTTAATCGTGACCACCCCGGTTTTTCTGACTCTCATGAAAACGAGAGGCCGTGTCGTGATGAAAATCCTAGCGGATAATTACATATACGTTTGGGGGATTTATTGTCAACAAGCTCTGTCAGGTAACTGTAAGACAAACACACGAAATGAAATATTTTCGCACGAAATTGCTCTGTTTTTCAGAGTTTCCAAACGAGTCCTCGATGAGATTGGCTTTCCTATCGATCTTCCTATCGTCGTTGATCGTTTTGTCTGCTTACTCCGCATCGTTGATCAGCTTTTTGACAGTCTCTACGGTTACACTACCCTTCACCACTATGGAAGAGTTCGCTAATCATGGCTCGTACAAATTGATCACGTATAAAAACAGCGCAGATTACGATATGATAATTGTAAGACGATACGTGAAACAAATGTGATATCGAACAAGCAGTACAACAGATACCTATAATTCCAGGCTAGTAACACTACCTTGTTCGAGAAACTGAAAAAGTTGTTGAAGAAAAAAGAGTACTTACCTGTGACGGCTCACGACGGCTTTACACAGGTTGGTTAATTCCAATGTTCGACCTATCGACCCTACACTTTTACGAATTTTCACTTTGAATTTACGCTTAAACATCAATCCAAATTTCAACATCGTACATGAACGAATATTTCAAATTTGTAACTATCGACCACAGGTTTGCAGCGAAAAAGTGGGATTCTACATATCCGAAGCGATAAAGAAAGCAGCCAGCCCATTACCGTGTGTAGTTGCGTCCATCGAGGCGGACAGGATCGACAATTTAGGTCTGATTTTGAAGAAAGACAGTCAGTACACGGGAGTGGTGAATTATTAGTAAATACATTACCGTTGATTTTATCAACATATTATCGAAGTATATTATCATTAATTCGATCTGAAATTATATCGACGTCTGTCTCGAATACTGTTTCAGTCTGCGACGATTCAAAGACAACGGGGTGCTGACCAAATTAAAGAATTCGTTTCTAGGAATTAAAAAATCTCAGAAGAAAGAAGACGTCACTGTCACTTTGAGCGGAGTTGTGCCTATTTTATGCCTTCTCGCAGGTGGAATAGTCTTTAGCTGTCTCGTGCTGATGCTTGAGAGAACGTGCTATAATTTTTGGCACTCCAAATACAGGAGAACTTTCAAATCTGCTTTATGGCGGAAATTCTTCGGTGAAAAGTTCGTCGTAGATCCAGCAAACAAGGAGAGCCGAATGAAAAATCTCGCGGAGAGTTATCAGGAGAATTGTCAGTTAGAGATTCCTCGTAACAAAATTTCCTCGACGCAGTACAAAGGAGATTTACTTTACCGTGATTAGATAAATTAGCGGAGAATGAGGATATAACGATAATGTTCGCGCGTTCACTGCCTATCAATAGGCCAGTCTCGTTAATTTGTCATGTATTCCCATTCTATGCGCGAAATCACTTTCACTTTATGCGGCAGTAGCATCGCCAGATCGCGAGTAATTAGTTGCAAATTTTCGCATATCGTTTCAACGTGGCGTGCATTTCAACGAGGCTCAATGAACCTCTCGATCATAATCCTAATTAACTGCGTTAATCACCGCTGTAACTAGACCCGTGTTAATTTATGTAATAAAAGGTATACGATTTTGTAACCTTTATTGCGAGCGAGTCTCAATAATCCTTTGACATTCAAATCGTGATCAACTGGTGATCTCAGCTGACGGATGCAATCAGTAACCAAGAGTAGCGATCACGATTTTATTCATATCCATACACATCTTGATATCGTTAAAAAGTTCGAGCCGCGATAATTACGTAAAAGCGGACTGCGCAACAGCAATAATTATCCGGTGATCGCGTTTGCCGCGAAGACGCGTAGATTCATACGAAGTAGTTGACCTAAGACCTTTGGAGAAATTCACCCACGTGACTATCTTCCCACGTGAATCGGCCAATATCTACTAGTTGGTGAACACACGAGGCTCCCTCGTTGCTACCCTCATCCTTCAATCCTGTCAAACGGGGATGTCTACGTTCGAACGTGGAAATTATATGGCATTTGACCGTGAGAATAACAGATGGTGCGACTTTTCGAAGAGATGGAAAATGTCATTTGAGCGTAGCTTCGAATTTTAGTTTTCGCAACGTACACGTAAGAGAGTGATTGAACGTGTCGTTCAACTCGAGTGGTGCGTACATACGTACGTGCAACGTAGCATCAGGAGACTGGAAATAGCGCAACAAGCGAACTCCCGAGGAAACGTCGGGACACAGGTAAACATAGATGCATCGATAGTTTTGGATGCTACACGTATCTACGTAGCCGTAAGTTTTTATGCTATCGAGTTAGTTTGAAAGTCAACGCGGTGGCCGGATACAGGCGAGCACGCGCTGCGTTTCCGCTTTCCGTTTGGCCGGAAATGACCTTTGCCTCGTTAGAAAAAAGATCCACGCGCTCTTTCGCCGATCTTTCGCCGTTAAGTCCAGCTGCGATCGTATCTGGGGATCGTACAAGGGGTTGTCAGGTTTCGTATTTACTTTCAGGGCGCTGGTGCGTCCACTTGCTCATCGACGAAACCACAAAATCGGTACGTGCGTTGTTTCCTCTATAACGAAACTGGATCTATCGCGAGATGTTAATTCATCGTCTTCGATCGTATCTTTGATGCTTGCTACATATATATATATATATATTTTTTTTTTTTATCGCCGATGGAAGAACCGGATAACCTTGGCGTCAAGAACGCGCAAAATACTCCCGGACGGGAATCGACCAGCTCCGAGATGACTAACGCCACATGACGAGGAATGCGTTAATCGAAAGCGATAGCGGGCATTCGAGGTGAATTTCAGACGTTCGATGCGGAGGCATTGCTGTTGTGCGTGTCTATCTGGATCGCAGACCTCGAATCCACCATCGATTCGAGCGCGCTGCACCGCGAAACGGATCGATCGATGGTAATCGACGATCAACGATGGCATTCCATTTAAAAAGGAATTTATTCGCTGCACGTGGTAGCCATTGCTGGCAGGTTGTGTCATCTCTGGGCTTGTCCAGAATGCCATTATTATCGCGCCGCATGCGCGATGTCTAGACTCTAGACTATGCTGTTCCTATCCTTTAACGAAAAAGAAAAAAAAAAAAAAAAAAAAGGATTGCGAACCAGGAAACAATAATGCTCGCCGATAATGACTATTGTCAAAGAGGGAACAATGATGCATGGTGACATGGGGTCTGCTTCGCAGAAAGTTCCGCGGGAAAATGAAGCTGCACACTGCGTATGTACGTGTCTATTGCGAACGAAACCACGATGCGAACGAGGGGAACGGAATTAAGATTAACCCTTTCGTAAGTTGACGCGGTTATCGTGCAACGGAACAAGATGAACAAGCTGGCAAGTCGTCGATCTTCCAGACGATCGTCGCTCAAACAAACGTTCAAACCGCTAATAGCGACGTTCACTCGGAAAACAACTTTATTCGAGATATACTGGCAACCAGGTAACGTCCGTGCAGGTCCGTTCGTCTCGTAAATCCGGTGTTGCGACTACCGAGGAGTGTGTTACTACCTTCGAGACCGTGGGTGGTTATTAACGTCGTACATTGGCTCATTGCCGCCTGGAAACCGTTTGTTCGCCGTCAATGATATTCAACGGTGAAAACATCGTCGCAAACACAGCCGCTTAAATAATACACGTATGATGAAAATTGCTTGCGATTAATACGTTACGATGTATGCGTGCATGGATCGACGACCGCGTGGGATTCCTCGACATTGCGAACGTCTTCGAATCTGGATCACATGGAGACGTGAGGTTGCATCTTGGAAACGCCGTGTCTCACCATTTACGGCTTAATTATACCAGTGTGGTACACAGCAACGCGTCGCGAGCGTAGGTGATTATTATCGTCGATAGAACGATGGATGCAATCACGTACGAAGGAGGACCTCGCGGATTCCGAGGGAGCGAGCAAGAAAATTTGACAGTTGGCAAGCATCTGACCTCTCTCGTTCCCTCCTCAATGCCAATTGTAATCTACCCACGGGTCGTATATACCGGGTGTCGCGTGGGTGTAGGCTCGTGCTGTACGCGTGCACGTGGTGGGGATCCTCCGGTACTTCACTGGCTCGCACGGGAAAGGAAAGGAAAAGAGCGGCGTACCTACACAGCTGTGTGCCGTAAACGCGATTATGTTTCGTCGCTGGCAAACCCATTCAGTGCTCCTTACGGCACGAAGGAACTTGGTGCTGTTGCCGCTGCAGGCGTTTCGTCGCCGCACCACGCGTTCCCCGTGACTCTGGCAAATCACATCCGGCCGTGGAGAAGAGGAAATCGTGCGCGCGGACACTCTCGCGGGCAGATCAGCTTCGGCCACGGTCACGTGCACCAGCAGCACGTCCAGTTTCGGAAAGTGTTTTGCTGTCGACGCGGGAAAATTAGAATTCCACGGGACGCGGACGGTTTCCGTGCCAGTTGTTACCACGCGATACTGAGTGAAAATTATACCTGATACGCTTGCGTGGCTACCCGTGGATACTGCTGAGTTTACTACTGTTCGACGAAACTACAAAAAAGAAGAGAGACAAAAAAAGAAAAAGAAAGGAAGAGGAAGAAAAAAAACGACCAATCGAGAGTGCGTGCACGAGTGCAGCTGTTTCACCGTGGGATCGAAACATTCGGGTGAGTTCGATCTGGAGGATCGACGCGGTTCTTTTTTTCTGTTTTAGAATCGTATGAGAGAAGAACGAGAAGAGACTCGGTGCAAAAAGGTATATACACACATGTGTAGATAATCGATAGTAAATTGCCTTGTCCTTGCGAAACTCTAAGACGCACACTTTCCAACCCGTTGGCTGCGCGAAACGATTTGCAGTTTTGTGATTCCCATTGTAAAGCTCGCCTCTTGGCGTAGCCACGGGGGTAGTAAGTATTTACACCCTGGCAAGGAAGCCTTGAAACTTTATCAACCGGCAAACGCGGGTATAAAAATAGAACATATATTTCCTGGCGTGTTCTGCGTCGGTCGGTTCTCATCCTCTTGCATGGGATCGGTCTAGTTTACCAATGGATGGCTCTGTCACTAGTCGAAGGAAGCGGACCCGCTAAGTTCTCAACATAAATATGTATACCGGGGATCTGATCACTGCTCCGCGATAAACCGGGGAAAGCACGAAGGGTTATTGAAAACAAGCGTGCAGTTACGTTCTATCTCCGGGCTGCGGAGCCGGTTTACCCGATACACGGCCAATTAATCTCTAATTGACAATGAAAAACGTTGGAAACCGAAGGAAAGCGTTGCGTAACGCCGGCGAATCGTACAACGACCAGTGGAAATAAATATCTGCAGCTGTTCTTCCGGCTTTGTTTGTCTCTTCGTGATGCTCGCGGAGCTAAAACTCCCGGAGTAAGGTCGGTATGAAACGCGACGACGAAGGGAAACGGAGGAAACAACGGGGGAAGAAAGAGAACGGATGCGTGCGCCGCGGAGAAATAAAGCGTGACGTTCTTTTAATGGAAAATGCATGAACCTTTTTTTTTCTTTTATTGCAGAGCTAACGAACAGAACAATCTTCGTCGTTAGAACGCCAACAAGCAGGAGCAGAACGACAGCGAAGTTCCGCGTAACCAAGCTGCAGCAATCAAGACGTATCGGAGACGAGCGAGTTATAGGTTGTTACGACGTGGTGAACGTTTATGGGATCGTACGTGTAACGAGCATCCTCGCGTCGTAAAACGCTGTCCACATAGGAAATGGTACGTGAATTACGTTGATTCTACTCGAACTCGGGTTTGTTTCATACGCGATTCTCGTACAGTCCGAACGAAAATGGAGATGAAGTTACCTCTGCCGATCGGATAGAACGATTTATCGGATAAAAATCGAAAACTCGTTTGCCGAGATACTTTGCCTTAGACGGAAAGCTCGCGGTTAAAAGAAAGGGGATATTTTTCAAGCGTGGTTCGTTCACCGTGACTAATTGACGAATAGAGCGGGCAAAAGCGGTCGTAATAAGTTAGCGTGAACGAAACTGCGGATTGCCAGCAACCGGCGCATTTGCCTACCGATCGAAATGCGCGGAGCAAAGGAGGCCGTTGTCGCGTGACGCGTTCCGCGAAGCTATTCATTCTAACCGGAAGGAGGTCCTCGCGTGGAAGTAAGAGGATGGATCTCTGAAAACGGCGATTTCTCTCGGCATCGAGTAGGAAACCGCAGAAGCCGATGAACGAGTCGAGAGAGTCTCGTTATTTCGTGTCGAGTCTCGTAATAACGTCGTCGGGATAGAGAGTCAGATACGAGAAATTTTTTTTCTTCTGGTTTCGTGAAACCGCAGAGAAGAAAACCTGCACGCGGTAAACGCGTGTTGTTTCGAACGTAAACTAAAGAAACGATATATCGTTGACAAGCAACGCGAAGCCGCAGTCCGAGTTGGCTCGTTTGCACGCGGCGACCGCAGAAAAAGTCGCGGGGAGGATCGCGAGAGATTCAACGGCAACAAGATACGTTCAAAATCGATGGTCGATCCTTCGAAAACAGAGAACTGAAACGCGCTGCGCTTACATAACGGGCCGGCGAGCGAACGGAAATATTCACTGGCATGACAATTGCCGGCCGATCGAACCGGGATTCCAGAGACAAAGCGATACACGATCGATCCTAATGGAACGGACAAACGTAACAGCCGTTCCGTGCGATCGATCTCGTCGTCCATTTACGGGCCGCGCCGATCGTCGTCCAACGTCACCCCCGACAACCCATCTCGCGCAATTAGAATGCAACGAGTCGAGAGCGATTAAAATACAGGTAGATGGACGTTGAAACGGCCACTGACTGTCGTATTAGCGAGGCCTACACCTACGTGGTCGTACGTGTCGCAAGATGGCCGGGTCACTACCTACATGGTGACACCCACCACGGCTTCTCAGGCGTTCGCGGCGAGCAACCGACTCTCCCGATCGTAATTTACGTCGATTAACAGTTACGCGGAGCTAATCGCGTAGAAAGCATTACGGGACCATTTGCTGTCAGTCATAAACGACCGTGTCCGAACCGTCGATTTTCATTCGATCGCAACCGTTTCGATTAACGGGGACACGACCGGAGGAAATTGCGGGTATCTCAAGCGCGAGAAACTGCCAATCGATACGAGTTCGATAAGCTCCTTCCAATAACTCTACCACGCTCGCGTGAATTCCACGGAACGGAAATGACCGCGAAGATTCACGCAGCTCGGCTCGAGTGTTTCCCCTCCGGTGGAAACGGAAGACGGTGATCTACGATCTCCGTGCACGCTGCTTTAAATACGCGCGCGTATTTTAAGTGATAAATAAAATACACGTTTTGCAACGTCCTCGGATGAACACGGCGAAGCCGATCATATCCATTAATACGTCGAATCCTTGTTTGCCAGGACGGGGACGCAAGGTACGCGAGAATGACATTTCAATGATCGTGGAAAGCTGGTAGCCGACTGCAGAAGCGGAAGAAACCGGCCGAAGAACGATGGTTTACAGAGGCAGTTTGCAGACCGACGATCCGAGAGATGCACCGAGGCTGGTCAGAATGTCACCGTTGCGAACCAGCAGGCCGCCGAGCAATCCCGTGGCCAATTCACGAGCGGCTTCCTCCGTTAATAGTCCGGTGTATCACGGCCCGTTTGTGCCAGCAATCGATGTTCATCAAGCTAAATTGATCGATGAAAGACGTTTGGCTCGTGAAAGGGACATCGCGTCCATGGAGAAGGTTATTATGAGGACCACCGGCCTCAAGATCGGCGCGCCGCGGCTACGGAACATCAGTCAGATACGAGACACGGTGTTCGTCGATCCGGCTCTGATACCGATGGAGAAGATCGGCCGGGTGGAGAAGGATCGGCCGAGAACCATCGCGGTCGACAGTTCCAGCAGATCGGCCAGAACGCAGAGCTCCATGTTGGCCGACTTGAAGGATTTGGAAAGGCTGAGGAACACGCCGTCGGCGCAGAGGTGTTCCAGAGTGGCAACGAGAAACGAAACGAAGTCCTCGTCGTCCAACAAGAGGACGGAGCTCTCGAGCACGACGAAAATTCGTTCGGACATTTTCAAGATACAACAGATGTTTCAAAGTCCCGACAGCTCGCCGAGGACCGTGGTGAAGTGCTCGACCGAGATGAAGAACGAGAAGAGAAACGAGACGGAGAAACACGAGAGAAAACCCGGGACGGAAATTAACAAAACGAGATTACTCGCTCAGAAGCTGTTGGAGGCGTCACGGAACAATCGGGAGTCGCTGAAGGATCGATACAATAATCCAAAGAATGCTTCGAATCTGAGAGCTGGCAAGGAGGTGAACGGCAGGGTGTCGAGCAAAGCGCCGCAGAGGAACAGCGTGGACCCTAAGCAATCGGAGAGGGGAAAAAATCCGACAGTGTCCGAGGATGTACATCCACGACCTCCGGCCCGAAGAAGGAGGGAGTCGAAGAACAGATGTGGCGGCGAATCGCGCGCGAATGGCGCCATTGTCGACGACGCTATGAGGAACGACACTCTTGAAAACGAGACGAAGGACACCGAAACTTCGGAGAAAGAGGTTGAAACATCGTCAAACCTCGACCACTGTCCGAACGTCGCCAATGCCACGGAAGACTCGAAGACGAAACCGAAGGAGCTCGACAGGCCGGACATTCTTGATGGATTGTTGAAAGAGTCTGATCAACAAATGGCCGATCTGAAGTCGGACTTGCACGAAAGAAGAAGATCACGAAGTCATTGGAGAGGGTTCGTGCAGTCGATGAGATTACACGATGTCGAACTTCATTCGGACAGCGAAGATCAACGAAAAGGTGAGCGAATTAAATGTTTGCTCGAGTTTTAGATCGAGTAGAGATACATTTGGGCGTTGAAAAAGTAAAAAAAATGTTATCATTGTCCCGAACTTGGCGGATGATCAGCTCTCGTTAATCAACGAGCGTTAAACTTTATCACTTTACTCGCGACGTTAAAATTACTCTCTGATTGCCCCTAAGGGAGCATTCGAGTTCGTGAATATATAATTTCGACGAACGCGCATGACCGCGGTGCCCAGCGTTAAGTGAGATTTATTGAAATATCTGCTGGTCATTTCGATGACCCCCTCCTTGCTTGTTGGGCCACGTTTTATAAGCCAGCAGATTGTATTAGCAACGTTTGCCGAGGTGTTTAAAATTACAACCGACGTGGCCATTAATCCCTTAGCTCGGGGCACCCCTATTTTTAGACGTTCGCAGACGCTCCCTTTCTTGCTCGTGTTGCTAGTGCAGGTCAGGGTAGCGTGTCCCTAACAACATATGTCTCAACATATGGATTCGTACCAGGACGAACAGGCACGCTAGATTCTTCGCTTTTGAAACGCGGTGTTTGTGAACCGGCGCGACGATCGTTCGTGATTTCCAGCGTTGCTTACATTACTGGCTCTTCGTTTCTCCGCTTAATTCGTCCCGAAACAAGCCTTCAAAGATTTAAAGTTCGTCGAGAGAGGTGCAACGTGCGATAGGCCCTGATTAGAAACGGTTTTCTCGATTCTCACGCCACTCTAGCATCGATTCTCGTACAGGCCATTTACTTTGATCCCACGATGAAAGTCTCGAGCGACGACCGACCGTTCGCTCCTTTTCTTGTTCGATGCACGGCCAATCCTTATCTGCCGTTTATCTTCTTTACACATTGGATTTACTTCTATCTGTGCTTACATTACAACAGAAAAGGAGACTCTTTCTGACGTTTCTCCGTGAAAACGTGTTATCGCGTTACGATTTTGGGCTTACTCGTAAAACTCAAAACGGAGAAGTTGGTTTCTCTTAAAAAAAACTTTGGAAAAAGCTCGTGGAGTCTGAATTTCTCTCGTTCTCACGCTTCCACGATTCGATAAATTACAGAACTGTCATCACGTTCAAGAAACACAAGTGAAACATCGTTTTCGCGTGTCGTGTGAAACAATGTTTCTTTTTACAATGTTTCAATTCGGTTTTAAGTCCTTCGTGTCGAACGCGATTGCACGCCTACAAAATGAATGAGTATCTCGCGTGCAACACACTTATGTACATACGTACATACGTACGCACTCTCAGACGAAAGAGTCGGCCTGTTTATTAAAAGTCCAGTGACACGCGATCAATTTAATTGCCTGGCCGAGCAACGTTTTTATCCGCAATCTTCGACACACGGCGCCGGTATTTACCTCGTCTTGCGGGATATTGTAAAAATGATTACGCAAAAGAAGTTGTGCCGATTCAACGGGTCTTGCGTACATTTCATATTGCGTCATAATCGCGAGGGACGCGCTAGACGATAAAACGTTTACGAAACATTCGTGATCGTCCACAACTCCTGTGATTCTTACCTTTTAAGGATTCTCGTTCTTGGTTTAGCTCAATTTCTCGAATAATTCATAAACACGTGGTGCGTCGAAATAGTAAAGGTCGAACGAAACCTGATGCGAAAACGCACGTGCGCCGACCACCAATCTCGCCGTGGTCGGAGATTATAAATTCCTCTTGCGGCAAACATCGACCGGAAGGACGGCAGATATCTCGAAAGAACAATAGGCCGCGCGTTCGATAAAGATTCTATGGACGAGCCGATCGATCGGCCGTGCATCGACGATGCATCGCGGCCTATGTATATACACACATATGTACATACATACATAATGCTCGGGTATTTCGAGGCAAACGCACGCGTCGGTGTGTATGTGTGTGTGTGTGTGCGTATAGAAGCGGTGACGGCCCTTGCCCTTGAGTCTACGCCCTAATATTGATCTAGCGTTCTCTTCCTACCCCTCCATGGTTGCCCATGGTGTGCGTACAATGAAACGCAGGCTTCTTCCCCCTCGCCCCTCCATCCACAGACCGATCCGCGCTCCCGTAAGTCCGGCGTATGAGCCGATGTTACTCTTCAGTGCAAATCTAGCTGTCAAACCGCTAGCATTTTTCAACACCAGTTCGCGGTGGTGGAGTTCGCAGTTGTCCCTTCGTATCGGTATCGCCTTTCTTCGATTCTTGTTTTGCGCCGGTAAACCTTTGGTTCTTGACCAATTCCACTGCTGCGGTTACGTGCAGAGCGCAACCGCACCGATGCTCGTCTAAACACTCTTTTCATTTTACCCGTCTCACGGTTTCTTAACCGTGTCAAACGCGAGTTCAACGTGTCCGGGGAATCGAACAGCAACCACGAGCCTTCCTCCAATAAAGCCGGTTGCACGTTATCGAACTTGGTCGATGCGCGCACGCCGCGTGCCTCGTCGTCTTCCTCTTCGTCCCGTTTCGGCCTGTCGTCGACGTGCCGACCAGCGTCCTCCGGGCGTGCCAAGTTGTTCAGTGCAGACGCGATCACGCGGTCGGATGCACACGCGAGCCTCTTACCTCTGGAGATGGTGCTCTGTGACGTCTGCGACAACAAAGGTGAGAGATATTTCTCTTCTTGAAAAATCGTGTCCTCGATTCAGCGACTCAACGCTTTTATTTGATTCGGTGACATTTGACCGACTCGCGTGAGATATCGTAAGCCCTTGCACAACGCGGTATCTTTTTCAAGTTTTTTTAGCCGCGTTTTCGTTTCGAGCTAACCCAGGTTTTTCTCTGTCCTGATATCCGTGTCGCGATGTTCGTCGTCATCCAATTGAAATGAATTACCGCAACGTGGTACAGATACAGATCGATAAGAAAATCCCCATGTTCTCCGCATCGTCTGACAAACGGATAGTATTTATCCGCTCGGATGGTAGAAAGACAGGTATCCCGCTCCGAAAGGTGAGAGAAATCCGCGGCGAACCCCGTGGTAAATGCCTGACATTTTCACCCTGGCGTGTTCACTCTTACCCGATCCACGAGACTTCGGGCTCGCGTATGCCGAATTTTTCTCCCTTTACTTTTAGTTGCTACAAATGCTGAAACCGTACGCCGGCTGGAATAACCCGTGCTTGAAATGTCAAATCTTTTATCAAGCGGCAACGTGTTCCAGGAGTACGGCCATTTACGAACGTGCCATTACACGTTTAGACTGGCGAATTAACATTTTCGCACTTCGACCGTTTTGAATGCTTGCAACGCCACGGAATGCTTGAAATGCTGTGTACACCCAACTGATCTCTATCGAGATCTCTATCTCGTAATCAGTGCCTGTTCCATTAATAAAATTACGTGTTCCATTTAAAACTCTGGTGTAACCAGAGTCAATTAAAACGTAATTTAATCCACGTGAAAATTCACCGACGTTTTAAGTCAGTCAACCCAAGTATAACCGTTTCCGCTTTCGCGTTTTTTCTCTTTCTGTTTTCCTTTTATTCGTTATTGTCGTTCGTTTCAATTAGCTTGGGGAATTATTTGAAACAGAAAGAGATTCCATCGGGGTACTGTTGCGCGAATACGCAGCGTCTCGCCGCGTGCATACACGATTGGGCGTGCCATAAATTCCGTTCCGAGAAGAGTCCGATTAAAACGGCAGACTAAGCGGCTCTGGAGATTACGAGGACCCGACTCGGTGTAAACAAGCCTCGTTATGCACTTAATTACGAGCACTCAAACTGTACGAGGGTGAACGCGCGCGCGTACGCTGACGCACGCGTGTGGTGCGAGCTTTGCTCCCGACCACTGTGCTCCATTATTCAGGGAAGTTTTCTCACGCTCTCAGCCTCTTCTGTCCGAAGAGGAACGACTCGTTGCTACTCGAGAAACGCGACAGAGAAGTGATTTCGCTTCTTCGACCTTGCTCCGCGTTTTCGACAATTTGGTTTCGAATTTGTGCGTTAGACGGGAAGACGAGATCTCGCTGGAGACTCGAGAGTCCGCGCGATTTCTCAGAAATCACTCACTTTTCTACGGACATTCGAAAGATAGTAGACCCTCAGTTCAGACGCTATTTATATTCGAGTGTGATAATGTCAAGCTAATCGATCGAACGTACGCTTTGTACGAACGTTCCTCCATTAAACAGAGCATGAACAGCAGTATCACGGAAAGTTTCTGTAACGTTCTTGTAAGAATTCTTTTCTTTTCTTTTCTTTTCTTTTTTTTTTCTCATTCGAACTCTTTGAACGCTTGACATCTCGAAGGATCGAAACTCCGAGTCGTTCTCGTTCGAATCTTGGCCAAGAGAAAATTAGTTGTTTAGTCGATTACTATGATATTGTACGATTTGTGGAGAAAACGGGACGACAGCGGAAGGTAGAAAAAGCAGCCATTGTTCGCGGAGCAATTAAATGCGCGTTAGTTGCTACGGAGGCAACTGACATCGAATCGAAGCGGAATGGCGTTTCACCAGCAGGCGCCTGCTTATCTCGTTTCATTTCACAGGAGAGAGACGTTATCGCGAAAAAAAATCGTATCGGTCGTGTTATCCTACGATGGCCATAACGCGGTGTATACCATCAATGCGAAAGATTGTTATTTCAACTCTGGTTGAATCGCGAATGAACCGCGGTGATTCTCTTCGTTTTATCTCGAAAGGTATCGATTGGATCTTTGTTCTGTTACGAACGATACGGCGATGAGCAAAACCGAACACGCGAAATTTAAACATAAACGACATTTTCTTGAATATTGGCACGTAGAATAAAAAAAAAAAAAGGCGAAATATACAGTGTTTTGTAGGACGTTTTGCCTTTCTCAAAATTTGATCACCATTCTCGCAGATATAAACTGCTTTCATGCAGTCATTTTGCGTCGTATATTAATTTAGATGAAAAATTATCACTTCAGACTGTTGTAATTTTATGAAAAAAAAAAAAAAGAAATCATCTAATAATCTGCTTGGCCTCATTTTAAAGCGTAAAACTTTGACCACCCTGAATTCGTTTCTTTTTTCAAGA